GCGTGACGTCGCCATGGGGGGTCACGGATGAGTCACGACTCGTCAATGTAAGTACGACGTACGTGAGCGCCACAAAGGTCAGTATTTACTTCACCGTGAGATCGAGCCAGCCCCCTCGGTTGGGTACAATTCAAATCACGATCGAAATCACGCCCCGAAACTTCGTGCGTCGAATCACGAGCACGACTCATAGATCGTGATTTCACCGTTCGAGCGCGCGCGAACCGCGTCGCGCTACAGGGTTCGACCGGTGACGCGATGGACGTCTCGTCGCCGTACGTCCTCGACGCCGGTGACGACATGTCGCGTAGTGACGGTCACGTCGTACCCATCACTGTTAATATAATAAAACGAATACGCTTTACGTCCCCTTCATGTGAAATCACGATCTCAATCACGATCTCCATCACGACGTCGTGATTTCACATCACGAGCACCACCCATAGAGTGGTCGTGTTTTCCCCGATCGACGGACCACGTCGAGGACGCGAGCGCCCCCCCCTCGTTTTACCCCCTCAAAGCCTTGAGTCACGACGTCACGACTCTAGGGTTTAAACCCTCGAGCCGGCGCCCGTCGTCGCGCTCGCGGTGACGTGTCGCGGCGGCGCCCACATCGCGCCCGGCATGTTCGCCGCCCCCGACCGCGCGTTCGCGCCCTCGCGCGCCGCGATCGCGGTGAAACTCACGCGCGGGCGACGGGCGCCCGTGACGCGCGCGCGCTTGGACGCGGGCGTCGGCGCGTTCGGGAGCAAGGCTGGGATGACGCACGTGTTCACCCCCGAGGGCTTGTGCGTCCCGGTGACCGTGATCGCGGTGCGCGAAGGGAACGTCGTGACGCAGGTACGAGACGGAGAAAATACGAGTGATCGATCGCGCGCGGTGATGGGGTCGGACGCGCGTCGGGGGGGCGAGGCGAAGGGGGGGATGGCGAATCGCGAACGAGGGTCTCGCGCGTCGCGCCGAAGGGCGTGTCCGTCGGTGGACGCGACGCGGCGTGTGTGAGCGAAGGCGTGACCGCGGCGTCGGGGGTGGTGTCGTGCGACGCGCGCGGTGTCGTCGAGAGGTCGTCGGTGGTGGCGACGAGGACGTCGTCGGTGGCGCGCGACGCGGGCGCGGGGCGGAACAAGCCCTAGGGCGGGCGTCGCGACGCGGCGCGACGGGTCACGGACGCGCGTCGAGGGGGCGTCGAGGACGCGTCGATGGATGCGGTCGATGGATGCGATCGATCGATGCGTGGGGCGAGCGCGCTCGCGGGTCACGCGTCGATGCGATCGATCGAGTGAGTGATGACTCGGATGACTGACGGGAAACTCGGCTCGCGCGCGACGTAGGTGAAGACGGAGGCGACGGACGGATACAACGCCGTGCAAGTCGGCTACGACGCCGTGAAGGAACGCCAACTCACCAAGCCGGAGGCTGGCCACTGCAAAAAGGCGGGCGCGCCCGCGCTCAGGCACTTGGAGGAATTCCGCCTTCGCGACGCCCCCGAATACGAAGTCGGCGCCAAGATTAACGTGTCCGAATTGTTCAAGGAGGGTGATAAGGTTGACGTCCGCGGTCGATCGATCGGTAAGGGCTTCCAAGGCGCGGTGAAACGATATGGGTTCTCCCGCGGTTTGATGACGCACGGTTCGAAGTCGCACCGCCAACACGGTTCCATCGGCTCCGGTACCAACCCGGGTCGCATTTACCCGGGGAAGCGCATGCACGGTCACATGGGCGACGAAATGGTGACCATCAAGGGTTTGACGGTCATGTCCGTCGAGGACGACTGCATCATCGTCAAAGGGAACGTTCCGGGCAAGTCTGGCGCGCTTTGCAAGGTGACGCCCAACAAGAAGGTCGGCGACGCCAAGTGGGAACCGCGCTTCGCCTAGGCGACGTCATCCTCGGGGAACTCCGCTAGACATCGTTCCGCGTACCATCATTAGCTCGATTTAATCCATTTGCGACAGCGACAGATCACCACGCCCTCGACCGCGTCGCCGCGGCGCGCGTCCATCGACGCACGGCGCCCCACCGTCGGTCCCGGTCGGTCCACCCATCGGTCGTGCCAAGCCTGACACGTCATCGACCGTTGCGTCGTCTCGCGCGCGTCGACGCGTCCACGACGACGCGCGCGCGGTGCGACGGGGCGGACACGTGCGGGAAAATACATCGAATCGATCGCGCGCGTCGTCGTCCCGTTCCTTCGCTCGCGTCGTCGGTGCGGCGTCGTCGCGCGCGATCGAATCATCCATCGCGCGCGACGACGCGCGTGGTCATGAATGCGATCGATGCGACGAACACGAGAGGCGTGCGCGCGTGTGCGTCGACCGCGCGCGTCGGGTGGAAACGTCACCGCGCGCGAGGGCGATCGACGCGCGCGCGCGCGACGGCGAGAGGACGGGAGAGGGATGGATGCGCGCGCGGGGCGCTGGACGCGCTGCGAGACGCGACGCGGCGGGACGGAAGCGCGTCGGAGGGACTGGTGTGCGACGTCTCGGCGGGGAAACCGGCGTTAGGGAACGGGGTGCGGAATGTGTTCCCGGTGCCGCTGTCGATCGCGCACGATGAGGCGTTCGAGAGGCGGTTGTCGGCGCTCGGAGCGACGGCGAACGGGACGGAGGACGTGCTCGAGGCGTTGAAGCGACGACGCGCGGAGGGATCGAAGCCGGGATCGAGAGGGGATGGATTGAAGATTGGACTCGTGGTCGAGGGCGGGGGGATGCGCGGATGCATCAGCGCCGGCGCCGTGGGCGCGCTTCTGGATGAGGGATATTACGACTGCTTCGACGCGGCGTACGGGTCGAGCGCGGGGGCGATGAATTTGACGTATTACCTCGCGAAACAGCCGGAGGGTGTGCGGGCGTACGAGCAAGATCTCTGCGACGGCACGTTTTTAGATCTCAAGCGTCACCTGGCGCGGCGATTGACGGTGATCAAGGAGGCGCACGTGGACCTGGTGCGACCAATCGTGCGCTTCGGTCGACGGTCTCAGAACTCCATCGCGGCGAGAAACGGGGCGAACACGATAGAGGAGGCGACGATGGCGGACGTCGCCACGCTAGCAGAAAATTTAGTCGTCGCGAGCGAGGAAGCGGCGGCGGATGCCAAGTATTCGGTGGATCCGGCGATGAACGTGCACTTCTTGCTCGATCGCGTCATGGGCGGAGAGACGGGAAAGCCGCTCAATTGGGACAACGTCATCAACGCCCCCGTGCCGCTTAAAGTTGTCGCCACGTCATTGGATACGATGACGACGGTGATTCTGGAAGATTTCAAGGATGAGCAAGATCTGAAGAAGTGTCTGTTGGCGAGCGCGCGCGTACCGGCGCTCGCCGGCGCTTCGCCCGTGGTGCACCGAGGGCATCGTCTCGTGGACGCCGCCGTGCTCGAACCGGTTCCCGTACACGCGGCGGTGCACGACGATTGCACGCACGTGCTCGTTTTACTCACCGCGGCGCACAAGACGGACACTGAGGCGGACGCCAGGAACGTCGAGACGCGCGACAACAGGCGCTTCCTCGGGAGGATTCGCGACAGGTTGAGACGCATCGCGCGTCGCCCCAAGGCGCGCCAAGTCGCCACCGCGGCCGCCTCTGAGGAGAGCGTGAGCGCGTTGAACAAATCGATCGATGACCCGGTGATGAAGCCGAAACCGGCGCAATCGGCGCTGTATAGGGCCATACGAAACCTCCTCTTCGCCCCGTCGTACATGGGTCCGATTTGGCGTCTCCACGACGCCTTCGCGAACGAGCTTCAGACCCGTCACGGTTGGCGCGCGCGAGACGTCTTCGTGCCGTCCACGGCCAAGAATGCGTTCCACCCCATCAAGATCGCCACCATCGCTCCCGACGGTCCCGCGTCGCGAGCGATGTCTCCGCTGTGCGTCGACCCCGAGCTCATCGCCGCCGCTCGAGTCGAGGGCGCCGCCGCCACCTTGCGCGCGCTCGCCGGGTGCGACGATATCACCGCCCTCGAGCGCGCGCGATGACTTTCGACGCGCATGTATACACGTGTACACGTACCGATATCATCGCACCAGACACGTCACGTCGCCCGCGCGTCGCGTCGTCGTCGCCGCTCGTCCCGCATCCGTCGCGTCGTCGCCCATCCGCACATCGCGCCGTCGCGCCCGATGCGCGAGCTCCGATGCGCGACGCAGCGCTACGACTGGGGCGTCGTCGGTTCGGGGCTCTGTCGCGCCCTCGGCGCCGCGAACGCCGCGCGGAACGGTGCGAACGTCGACGACGCGTTCATGGATGGACCGCACGCCGAGCTCTGGATCGGCACACATCCGAACGGTATGTCCGTGTTGAGCGACACCGGCGTCGATCTGCGCGCGCACGTGGCGGAGAATCAAGTCCAGTGCCTCGGCGCGCGCGTGATCGATCGGTTCGGGGACGGTGGGAGGTGTGACGTGCCGTTTTTGATGAAGATTCTGAGCGTCGCAAAGGCGCTGAGCGTCCAGGCGCACCCGGATAAAAAATTAGCGAAGGAGTTACACGCGAGAGATCCGAAGAACTACAGGGACGATAATCATAAACCGGAGATGGCGCTGTGCGTGAGCGAACGATTCGAAGCCATGAGTGGATTCGCGTCGGCGAGGGAGGTTTGGGAAAACGCGCGGGCGCACGAAGAGTTGAGACGGGCGGCGAGCGACGAGGAGGCGTGGAGCGATCTCGAGCGCGCGCTCGCGGCGGGTAAGGGAGACGACGATGATGAGGTGAAGGGTGCGTTTAAACGAGTGTTCACGGCGCTCATGACGGCGGAGAAAGCGACGGTGGAGCGCGAATTGGCTTTGATGCGGACGCGCGTCGCGGCGAAGGAATCGAGAGACGCCAAGGAGTCCCTCTTCCTGCGGCTGTGTGCGCAGTATCCGGGCGACGTCGGCGCGTTCTGCGCGTTCGTGTTGAATTACGTCACGATCACTCCCGGTCAGGCGATCGTCATGGCGGCGAACGAGCCGCACGCCTACCTCTCGGGCGACTGCGTCGAGGTCATGGCGACGAGCGACAACGTCGTCCGCGCCGGACTCACGCCCAAGTTTCGCGACGTGCGCGTCCTGTGCGACATGCTGACGTACACATTGGGCCCCCCGGAAATCTTAACCGGCGACGTCATCGACGCGTGCACGCGCAGATACGTTCCACCGTTCGAGGAATTCGTCCTGGACGTCGTCGCGTGCGCCTCGGGCTCGACGCACGTCGCCGCCGCGCGAGACGGTCCCTCCGTGTGGATCGTCCACCGAGGCGCGTGTCGCGCGACGTCCAGCGCGGATGGGCGCACCCTCGCCCTCACCCCGGGCGCCGCCCTCTTCATCGACGCCGGTGAATCCCTCGACGTCGCCGCGTCGGAGGACTTCGTCGCCTACGTCTCCAGCACCAACGTGTGAGTTCCATACAGTAGGATTTCCAACACCATGAAAACCCCATGCACACCGCACTCGCGCGCGCGTGACGCCACCGACCTCCCGTCGCGCGCGCGATCGCCCGCGCGACGCCCCGCGTTCGCCCGCGCGTCGCCTCGATCGCG